TCACTCTCCACCCTAGTCCTCTGTGGCTATGTCACTGACTCTGGGCCCAAGAGTCCCCAGGTCTTGCCACACTGCTGGCCAACCAGGTCTCCACCCGGGTTCACAAGAGTATATTGAACGTTATAGAGTTTAGCTCGCAGCTTCGTTGCTGTTTTTCCCTCACTTCCCCTTATCGATGATGAATGTGGTTACCACTCAGAGCATGTATTCCCATTGAGTCTTAGACTTGGAAGGGGGTTTGCCCTGAGGGGACTTGACCACTATCCTTGATGTCTCCTGGGCGAGCAACTTGCTTGTTCTTGTAGTAATCAGTCAGTCTGCCTGTATTGTTTTGCATTTTTCCTGTAGGTCTTTCTTTCAAGAAACATCTTCTGTTTTTCTAGTTACTCCAGGCTGGTTTGCTTGTCCTTTCACAGGGAAATTTTCCACCTCAGAAGATTCTGGATGAGGTTCAGGATTCTACCTATGGTCTTATGTAATGCAGAGGCACCGCAGGAAGCCTCCTTCACTGGGCACATTATAGCCCCATTTTAGGTATTTCAATCAGTTATAGGCAGAAGACAGACTTATAAGCTTTCTATGGTGATATTTCTGGCTATTCCTTTCTCTCCTCCTAAAGTGTCTATTTTACACTGGTATGCCAGGGAAACCAAGATTCAAAAGACAGCCAAGCGTCTTAACATTATTTCCCCCCTTTTGCCCATTCCAACCATGTCTCAATCCCTGTATCCCAGAACCCTGTTGTTCCAAGGTTGTACATGCATCATTATTTACCTCTGTCCCACTTTGTCCGTGCAAACCTGCCTAATTGTTTTCCCATCCTCCTTGTTCTTCCATTCCCCGCCCCCTTCTTGTGTATTGCCCCCCTCCCTAGCACCCAAACTATCCTGTGTCTATTCCCTGCCCTGTGCTCCACCTTCCACTCCCTCCCCTCACCCCACTTCCCACATCCTGGTAACAAGAAATGAATCCCCCTCCCCCCTTTAGTATGGGTTCTTTTTCTTAGTCTTTTACAGTAGTGGTCCTATGCAGTATTTCACCTTTTGCAACTGACTAATTTCACTCAACATAATGTCCTCAAGGTTCATGCATGTTATGTGATAACTTACAGCTTCCTTGTTGTTCTTCAAGGTA